GCCGCAACGTCACAATGCATATGTAAAAAATATATGTTATGTTTGTGTTTTACAGATCCACTTTTTTTCTAAAGGATGACACACTCACGACTTTATGCAGTGGATTATGAATTTTTTTAAACGAGTTATATTTTAATTTTTTTGTTGCATTAACAACGATATGTCTACTAATAGATTATTTATCTTATGTTCTATACTTTGTATACATATATGTACGTGTGTAGATGTATGTATATAATATAATGTAAGTTTATGTATGCAATATTATATGTTATATAATATTATAAATTACAGATGTGTTTAGTTCAAAGTGCAATTATGTTGCCTAAGATGTTTGTTGTTGCCTAAGATAACATTTTGTGATAAAAGATTAAAAATAAGATTGTGATAAAAGATAATAAACATATTAAGTTTATGGCTAAGATGTTATTAAAAGAAAAAATTTAAAATTATGTTACTTTATTAAGTTACTTAAGTCACTGGTATGTGCCTTACATACATTACATATATTATGTTTGAAAAAAATAAATCAATGTTCTTCAATCCATCGTGTGTAACAACTGTCATTATAAGCTTCTTATCCTATCTTCTTATCCTAATTATTATAAAATGCGTACGTTATTTTCATTAATCACACTCAAGAGGTTATAATTATTACTTACATAATAAACGTACGTCATCTTCATTAATCACACTTAAAAGGTTATAATTATTAGTAACATACTAAAACGTAATTATTATTACTTACATAATAAAATGTTTTAATGAAGCATGTGTAATTAAAAGGTTTTAATTCTAAGTATTAATAGTCACGTTACTTATATAATAAATATATTTCAGATAAACGAGACGTTTTTGAAGTAATATCTACTGACCAAAGTGTAGAATTATTGGAATCTGATAATGAAGGGGTTACATAAACGCACACAGAAAAGATATTTTTCAAGGTAATATTTAGTCATGTTGTATATTTATATGTTAACAAATTTTTTTAAATGTATACAAATAAATGCTAGATATGTATATATAAAAGCATGTATTGTGTTTATGCTTTACAGATCCATGTATTTCTACAGAGAAAGATGATACGTTAATGGTTGCAGTGGAGAGGAACAAGAAAAAGATGTACGAAAAGAAGAATTGTCTATCTGAACAGTCGTTCGATAAGAGCATCTCGTGCGAGAAAACCATCTCCAGGTTGCCAGTGAGGCTCGGCCACCGGGACTTCATTATTGAGATTTTCTACTTCTTCATCATCTTCTTCCAACTTATCATTTAAAATTAATGCAAGGTTGTGAAGAACAGCACATGCCACAACGATTGATGTGGACGTTAACAATTTCGTGCCAAGTCCTTTTGACAGACAGTCCTTTTGACAGAAATCTACGTTTCCATATGCCAAACGTCCTCTCAACAATTCTCCTTGTTCTTCCATGAATTGTATTATAACTGAAATTAATATATGTCATTAATAAACATAATACAATTAAACAACACACACACACACACACACACACACATATAAAATAATAATAAAAATTATATCCGAACAGTCGATCAATAAAAGCATTTCGTATGAAGAACCCGTTTCTAGGTTGTCCGTGAGATTCGGCTACCGGGACTTCATTTTCTACTTTTTCATTATCTTATATATAAAATACACATATATCGAATCTTATTTTTTCATCTGTTCTAGGATTACCAATCGGTGTAAGTAAAAAAGGCAATGCGGGATATCCAGCATCTCCTACAAGGATTCCATCTAATTCGCCTTGCCTATATCGCATATATATGCGAAAATTTTGGAAGATTCGGCTGTCGTGCTCACTACCTGGCCATTCAGGAACAATATCTAGAATTTCTGTGCGTGGCCCAACAATAATCTGTAAAGAGAACAAGTGAAATGAGAATTAAGAGATAGTTTTTGCTTTGTATATTTTTTTGTATGGAATAATTTAAGAAAATATATGTGTATGTACCTAAACATTTAAAGAAAAGTATCCTTTTCTATTTCTAAAAATTTCGTCAACATTTTGAAATCTTGTGTGGACTAGACGAATATGTGTGCAATCTATTGCGCCATCGATACTAGGAAGGCCTATGCCTCCATGACCACGTCCAAGTTCTCTAAATAATCTTTTATTCTCAGAACGTGATTCTTCTGACGATGGTATTCTTATGTATCGGTTAATGTAGCTCGCTAATAGGGGTATTCAAATAAGTTAGAGTTTAACGGTTTGACAGGTTATGTCGGGTTAAAGTCGGGTAAAAAGTTAATTTTTACACTTTTAACCTAAAGATTAATGTGATAGGTTAATGAGTCACTTATGTATTTTGCATAACCTTAAAGAGTAGCGCGCCCAAAGTTAATTAATTAACTTTTTACTCGACTTTAACCCGACATAACCTGTCAAACCGTTAAACTTTAACTTATTTGAATACCCCTAATAAAATGGACACTCTAAACACAATTCGTGAAATTGTTGGTTGTGATATTGTTATTATATCCCCTAAAACAAGCTGAGAAAATACATATTTATTAAATATTTTGTTAATTTATTGTTATATACATATATATGTTATATATATATATATATATTTCTGCGTACAGCAGCGTGCGTATAGCGTTCATCCATCTCACTCACTCGCGCAGGAAACTTTTATCTCTCTCTCACTCGCACTCACTCACACTATGCGCTTTAGTTCGCGTCCATGAGCCCTGTCACTCAGTGAGGGCGCTGCAAACACTGGTACCGCGAGAACAATAGGAGTTCGTAACCCCTGGCTGCGATTCATTCTCCGTTAGGTACTCTCCAGGAATATGTCCAATTGCGAGAATCAATCTCGAGAGCTACTCTCGCGAGTTTTACTCGCAGGTGGACACGCACCATAAGACGTTTTATTTGTTAAAAAATAGTTGTATTAAAAGAACTCAAAATAATATTTAATTTCTACATGACATACGCATAAATTGTTAAGTTATCACGTTGACATAAATGTAACATACGAAAATGTTAAGAAAATAATAACATATTTGTTGTATGTGTATTTTACGTTAAAGTAACAATTAAATTTTGGTAACACAAGGAAATTTTAACGTAGGATACACACGATTTTTTGCTGCGTACGTGCCGCGTAACGCAACAATCTCGTACGTAATTTCTGTACGTAAGGCGTAAGATACTACGGCAATGTACGTGCGCTAGCTCTTAGCCTCTCGCCTTTTCGATGGCAGGAAAATGATACGCTATAATTTCCACACCACTTTGCGGTAGATAGCTTGGTGCGTTTTTTTATAGTGGTTTTCCCGGTAGGCCTAATCCACTCTCATTATTTAATGCAAAAATTGTTCGAAGTGCCGTCCTCTCTCTCGTATGCAGAGTTCGGCCCTTCGTACAATATTGCGCGTCGCACACGGTGCGCCATGTCCGGCGTAATAGTATCGAAGGTCGCAACAATAGCTTCACGTACCTCGTTTTCTCCACTATTACGCCGTTGCTCGATTAGACTTTTTATATGACCCCATACAAAAAAGTCTAATACATTTAAATCTGGCGACCGTGCCGGCCAGGCGATTGGGCCACCACGACCCATCCACCTATCCGGAAAACGCGCGTCTAATATTTCGCGCACTTGACGACTAAAATGAGCCGGAGCTCCGTCGTGTTGAAAAATTAGCTGCGCCCGTACGCGAAGGGGCACATCCGCGAGAAGAACTGGCAATTCATTCTCAATAAAATTGGCATAAATATTGCCAGTTAAACGCGGTGGGAGGAAATATGGACCGATCTGGAAATAATGATTAAAAATGTTTCTTCACTTAAACAACAAGAGAAAATTGCTTTCTTTCTACTTTTACTTACCACTTGATTCTCGATTACTCCCGCCCATACGTTTATGGACCAGCGATATTGAAAATTGCCCTCACGGACGACGTGCGGGTTTTCATCCGACCAATAAACAAAATTCCGGGAATTGAATACGCCGTTTGGTGTAAACGTCGCTTCGTCGGTCCACAGAATGTTATCCGGGAAAGATAAATTCCGTCGGCATTGCGCGAGGGACCCTACGTATGTTTTTTTCCACAGTTTCTAATTATTGTACACTCAAATTACCGCAAATATAAAAAGTTGATAATGACAATACTTTCACAAAAGTATATCCGTGGTTCTAGATCTCGCGCTAAAAGCTGTTGCACCCGCTGGTAGTGGTACGGATGCAAATCATTCTCTCGTAATGTGCGATGCACCTCGTACCGAGAGAGATGAAACTCGCATGCTGCACGACGCACGCTGTTGTTCGGATTTTCATAAAATGCGTCGAGTATTCTCTCTTCGTCTCAAACACGACGACGCGACGCACTGGTATGTCTCTTCTATTATGCACAAGACAACCTGTCTCACGCAATTTTTGCACAACACGATAAATAGTACGATGTGTTAAAAATTTTTTTATTTCTGTCACAGTAGTTATAAAGTATCGTATTCCACAACAGTTTATAATTTCCGCATTGTTCAATAAATTCCTTTGTGTCATCAAAGGAACAAACTTTTGCCATCTCGGTTTTTACTCTCAACATGTAGCTCTCAAAATGCGAACAGCGTTCGAGCTTGGCGAGCTGATCTCCGAGAGTAAAATAACGTCGTGTCGATTTGCGAGTAGGTCTTGAAAAGTTCGCTCGCCGAGAGCTGCGATTCATTCTCCGTTAGGTACTCTTCAGGAATATGTCCATTTGCGAGAATCAATCTCGAGAGCTACTCTCGAGAGTTTTACTCGCAGGTGGACACGCACCATTAAAGTTATTCTAACATAAACAAAAGTTAAAGTAAAGCTTTGTAAACCTCGTAAACTTTGACATGCAAAATAATTTAATTTACTAAAATTAAATGTTTCTATTACACATACATAATTCAAGCTAAACTAATTAATATTATCTAAGGCGTAAGACGCTACGGCAATGTTTATGCAATACGTGTGCTACCTGTTACTACGTTTACGCGAGCGCGTTACTTCTGTAGTAACTTACAATAATTCACTCGTTTACGCGGAGTAAATTATTACAGTAAGTTACTACAAAATCCCGTTTACGCGAAGGAATTATCGTAAGTTTAGTATGTGCTGGCTCTAATACTTTTTCGCCGCAGTGTATAACATCTGTCGCTCGACGTTCGCCGCGCCGCGCCGCGCCCCGCTCGCCGCTCGTCTCTGGACCCCCACCGCTTGCCGCGCGCCGTGCACCATGCCAGCCCAGCCAGCCACCGAGCCTCCGTCTCTATCGCTCCTTGTGCGCTCATTCGCTCAGACGTTTTATTTAATAACTCGTTTGCGAATTATTTATTAACTATTGCGAATTTTGCAAAATGGTACAAGACTTTTCTTTTCAGTTTGACCCAATCTACCCCCCCCCCCCATTCGGCTGTATATTTTTATATCTAACACCTTGTATATTACATTCCACATTTCCGACTTTTCAACCAGGACCTCAGTGCATTCGCGCGTAAGTTACTGGAATTTTAGAAAGATGGACGCATGGTGGAAGTAATAAGGTGTGCTTATGCGCACGTTTCTTGCAATATCCAATCACAGAACGTGACAAAAGTCCGCCATGTTTTTTTAATTTTGGTAGGAGATTCAAATTGTGTGATTATTTAGACTATGTTTAAATGTCGTTATGAAAGTAAAAAATGTAATTGTTACTTGAATCGCCATTAAATCTAATTATTTTTTAAAATTACAATAGAAAATTAAGAAATATAGAAAGAAGAAATGAATTACACGGCATGTCAATGGTAAAATAATTTCGATTCATACTGTTTGTTACATCTTGCACTAAAAGTTTGAAAAATGGTGTCGCAAAATTGTTGTATATTAAGAAATGGATTATTTATCGCTTTTCGCTAATTTTGTCACTTCTTATTCTCTAAAAAGTAGATTGTAAAATTAATTAATATAAAATGACATACCATTACA